CTCGATGACCCGGCTGCCCTGGGCGGCGCTGCCCTCCAATGCGGCCCCGACGGCGTCAGCCTCGCTCCCATTCCCCCGCCAGAGGCCCCACCCGCCAGCCGCGGCCGCTCTGCGCTCAGGCGAGGCAGGACGTAGTGTCCAGGACGCAGCCGCGGCCTCCCGCCCTGTCCTCAGTCTTCCCCCCTCGGTGGAAGACTCCCCTTTTTTTTTTTTTAACCTTTAAGATATACGTTTCCACTGAATAAAAATTCCTAAGGAAGTAACCCGCTCACACACAACTGTGTGGTGCCCAGATTCTGGGGCAGCCCGCCCCAGAGGCCTCCGCGCAGATTCTTCCACGTTGTCTCACTGAACCCGGCCCTGCTAGCTCCTGCTCGCGGTGTTCTCTACTTAAATGGGACTGTGCCCTCGGCCTTGCGTAACAGTTCAAGGCCCACCACCGTCTTTCATGTTACAGGCCATACCTCCCTTTTGGACTCCTGAATGCCAAATGCAGAAATTTCATACAAAACTTTCGGATGAAGCAGGAAGTGAATTCCAGTGCAGAGAGAAGACACCGGCTTGGTGACATTATGTAGACCCAGACACTCCTGGAAAGGGAAACAGACTTTAAAACTTAGCGACACTGATTTTTTCCAAAGGAGTCCTTTCTTCTACTCATAATTCAATTTCAATTTTAGTTTTCACTTCATTGAAACTTTTTCTTTGTAGAGATAAAAAAAAATTCTCTTTATCTAACCATTTTTGATGATAATTTAAAAGCTATCAGATGAAAGTAGGGTTGTTATTGTCCAAAGAAGGAAAGAAAGAAAACAAGTTTTTAGTTAACAGGCAGAAAAACTAGTGCACATTTAGTCATATCGGGCTGGGGACTATTTGTGGAATGTGAACAGAACCCCAACTGGGAAGAGGAAGCAGGCCTGGCAACAGACACTGACACAACAGGAGCTGAATGAGCGTCATGGAACCACAACCCTAGAACTGGTGGAGCGGGAACATTCCCGCTATGTACATTTCACCACAACTTTACAAAAGCAAGTTAGACACAGCTGAGGGAAGAATCCATGTACTGAAGGACAGCGCTGAGGAATTTTATCCAAACCAGACAAAAAAGGCACGGGAAATACGAAAGAGGAATTAAAAGGCTAAAAACCACAAAGGGTAAAATAAGACGTAACAGGACTTTCCCTGGTGGCGCAGCGGGTTAAAGCACAGCACTGAGAAGCTAAAGCCACTTCCACATGAGTTCGATTCCCGCCTGCCCCGGAGGTGACCCACATGGCGCGGCAGACCTCTCCTGACCCGCCCGCTGCTCCCCTCAGCAGTGGGCTTCGTCGATCTGCCTGTTCTGCTCCCCACTCTGTCCCTGGTGAATCCTCTCACCTTCTGTATCTCTGACCTGTACCCCAGTTCTGTACAAATAAATAAAAAAATCTTTAAAAAAAAAAAAAGGCATAACAAAGACCTGATCTGAGTTCCACATGGAGAGAACAGCAAAGAGAAGAGAAAGAACGACTGGGAATTACCCAGAAATGAAGGCAAATGTGTGTCTTTAGATTGAAGTAAGGGGAAATCAACTCAGCGCAAAGTCAAGTCATTATCAAGCTCGTGAACCGCCAGTCACTGACAATACTGAGAATTTTATTTCAGTAAAAAGTAGACCAAAGCTAAATATCTATCAATAATAAAGTGAATTACATTCAAAATTAAAAAGCAAGAAGCTGAATGAACTAAGTGGTTCTATGGTGAAAGGCATAGAACAGTATGAAAACACAGCGTGAAGACAGACTCTCTGAAGCAGACAAAACAACAGCACATATGACTTATAAAGACATGCATCCACACTAAAAACACAGAAAACATATGCAAAGCAAGGAAAACACTGGCGTTATAAATAAAGTAGCTATCTTAGAAGAATAAAGAGAGAAAAAAAGGAAGTAAACTTTAGTTATAACTACAACATTTTCATTTCTGACTCAAAAATGATCAGAAGTAAAAATTGCAAAATGTAGACCTTTATAATATATAGCTAGTACTTATAACAGTGTAAAATACAGAGGGCATTTTCAAGAGTAAATAGGAACATACATATTTTTCAGTATGCGTGTACCTGAGTCTTTTCAATATCGATGTAGTTAATATTTAATAATATAAATTTCTCAGAGCCAATTAATCATCACCATCTATTTTTATGGTAATCATTCTTATAGCCCAAAAGTCAAATACTTTAATTTTGGGGTACAGTTGAGAATCCACTGTTAGTTCTTCCCTACAAACAAAAAAACCTACTTTAACAATATCCAGACAGCAACGGTAAGTTTCAATTTTCACTTGCGGCAATGGGTGAGACAGCATACGTAGAAACACCTTCTGACTTTCTCCTTGGAGTAATGGACTGGCCTGTGCAGATTTCCAGCTGGCAAAATGGCAAAACACCCCAGACAGGTCAGGCAAAAAAACTAGTAAACAAGAAAACGAAAGGCATAAAGGAAACAGTTGTTTCCCACAACTCTCCAACCTGGAATCTTATTTAACTAACTCAGTATTAGTGTTCACCCAAGTATGTGTCTCAAGGATGAGAATATTCTGTCTGAAAGAATACCAATAAAAACAAGTTATCCCAGGTGACTTGGTGATGGGAAGCCCACAGGGATTACAACTGAGATGGAAAAAGGCACAAAATGATGTAAAAATAAACTATTATATTATTTTGTACAAAAAACAAATTATCCTTCAAAATCAGTATTTAGAATGTAAGTTAACACAGCTGCTCTGGGAAACAGTATGTAGATAACTCAAAAAATTAAAAAACAGAACTCTCATTGGATCCAGAGATCTCATTTCTGCATAAATATCAAAGGAATTGAAATAAGTGTCTCAGAGAGACAGCTGCCCTGTCACGTTCATTGCAGAATTATTTGCAACAGTGATGAAATAAGGAAACTGGATGAATGGATAAAGAAAATCTGATAGATATGCACAGTGGAATATTACTCAGCCTTCAAAAGGAAATTCTATAATTTGTGATAAAACGGATGAACCTGGAGGTCACTCTGCTTAGTGACACAAATCAGACACAGAAAGACAAAAACTACATGATCTCATTTACATGCACATACCAACAAAAATATCAGACAGAGAGTAGAAGGTGGTTGGCAGGTGGGCTAGAGAAAATATGGGAATGTTGGTCAAAATTACAAAGCTTCAGCTATGCAGGCTGACCAAACCGTGGAGATGTAATTTACTTTATAGTGAATATGTATTGTGTACTAGTTTTAAGAAAGACTGCAAATATTCTCATCACCAAAAAGAAAATGGTAATTATGTAAGATGAAAAATAAACAGATTAATAAGTAAATAAATACCTATATTTAAACTTTCATTTCTCACCAAGGAATTTACTCTTTTCTAAAAGCAATGAAGAGGCTGTTTTGTTAATTAGAAAGCTAAGGATAAATAAAAAAGCAAATATGCTTGACCACGTGGCTCGGATGGACGCCACAGCAAATAAACTTCCAAGGATAACTCATTTTGATAACAGGCAGAACTTTTAAATTTATTCCTGAACAAAACGGTTCATTGTCCTAAAACTGCTCTGCAAACACAGTTTAAATTTCAGACCCATTTAACGCAAAGTGAGCTTTGAAAGATGCTTGAGCCAGTCCCACTCCCGCTGCCCCTGAATCCTGGCTCCGTGCACCCATTCCACAGTCCGTCTTACAGCAGCGCGATCAAAGTAAGAGAATACATTACATCTCTGAACAGATGCCGACGATCTCCTTTATCACAGAAAAATGCTGATGATAGGAGAAGCTCAGCAAGGCTTGGTCTGCCAGCTCCACTAACTCTAAGAGGTTCTTCTCGCCCTAGAAAACAAGGCAGAGTGGAAGAGTCAAGTCAGGTTCACATACACTAAGACTCCCAACAGCTAACTAAGCAGCTCCAAGAAAGGGGACCACTCAGAGACCAGAGGTTGTTCACAACTGCCTGCGTCCACTTCCTCGGCTGACCAGCTGAAAGCGGCAGCCTCTGAGAGAAGGTGTGGGGGTCACCCCCGGCTAACCGCCGCGGGAGACGGCCGCTACTTACCTGCCTCAGAGCAGGCTGCGTGCCGCAGGCTGCATGCCACAGTCCGCAGCCTGGTTCTCGGAGCCCTGGGCAGAGCCCACCCTCCCTGTGAGCTGCCCGCCAGACGAAGCCGGGCGCTCTGCCCCACCTCCCCACAGCACCCCCACTGCTTCAGCACAGGGTGGTCATGCCTGTGCGATGCACCCCACAGAGATGGGAAAGTCCGAGATTCTATTCAGGAAGACAAAAGCCTGAGGCATCAAGACGCGCAATACGAGGAAGGAACAACTGAAGGGGAAAGAGAAGGGTCGGAGGGACCCAGGCAGGGCCAAGAGGAACAGCAGTCCTGTCCCGGTTTCCTCAGGGGCCAGGCTGGGGCTCCCAGACAGTGAAGCACAGTGTAGCCAGTGCCTGCGAGGTTTAAAGACTGTTAGCCCTCTCACTGCTGGCACGGTGACAGACGGCCCAATACCTGCATCGCTAAAAGGGACAGAGAACAACACCTAAGTACAGCTGTAACATTACACCTAGTTCATCCTATCACTTTACAATTAGGACCTGGCCTGATACAATAAAAAAGTCAGCTGCTGATGGCCCTCCCTGGTGGCGCAGCGGGTTAAAGCACTGCACTAAGAAGCTTAAGTCACTTCCGCATGAGTTCCATCCCCGGCTGCCCTGGAGGAGATCCACAGGGCCCGGCAGACCTCTCCTGACCCGCCCGCTGCTCCCCTCAGCAGTGGACTTCGTCGATCTGCCTGTTCTGCTCCCCACTCTGTCTCTGGCGCTGGTGAATCCTCTCACCCTCCGCATCGCTGCCCTGTACCCCAGTTCTGTATGAATAAATGAATAAATCTTAAAAAAAAAAAAAAATCAGCTGCTTTGTGCAAGGATATGATGAGAGTCTAAAAACTTGGGGAGAAGGGTCCATAAACTGGTACTACAATGGCCCGTACAGGTCTGTCAGCTGCCACTCTGCTCAGGCAGAGTGAGTAACCCTAGAGACGCACTCGTTATGAATAAAAGACATTTGCACAGGTGCTTTTTCGGAGCGCCCCTGGTTTCCTGAATCTGCGCCACACCTCAACCTCAGGCTTAGTCCACGTAGAGGAGCACGCCCCTACTTTAATCTGGTCGCCCCACTAGATCATCACGCGTCCCGCCTCTCGCCACCCGGCCGTGTGTCCCGCCATCTAAAAGCGCAGGCTAACCTTCCACAGCCTTCTATTAAAGGGATTAAAAAGGGACATTGACAAAGCTCGGTACCTCCTTCCTAACGTCAGCCAGGAAGTTACAGGTGCACTCAATGGAGCGCACAGTCTCCGCGGTTCGTTTGTAGATGCTGTAGTTTTCGGAGTTCAGCTGTTCCAAGTAGGCCACGGCCGCTTCGTGAATATTTGGATATTCCAAGGAAATGGGTATGTCCATAGAGAGCAGAAACAGCGCTGCTGACATAGGTTCTGGTAAAACGTGGCTTGCCTTGAAGGATTTAAAAAACACAGAGTTTAAAAATAATGCCAAGACTGCTACTTGAGAAGCATGGTAAACAGCAAGTGTCACATAGCTTCACTAGATTAGCCCAGAGCTGAGTGGTAGACTCTATCAGGTCAACTTCCTCTTTCACAAAGCCTGTGCATCCCAGCAATTCTCCCCAACACGTTCTCTCTCATTGCATTGTTCAATGCAACTTTCCCCTGCCCAGAAACATCAACCGTTTCCCAGAGCCTGAAAAATAAGTTAGTTCCTTCATCTGCACATCGTTCAACTTTTCCCTAGGCCGGCATCTTGCTTATTACACCTGCTACTTAACTTCGGGTCCAAGGGCTTGTTCTCTGGTATTTCCTGCACATGTACATAGATCTCCAGAATACTAAAGTGCTGAGGATTAGAACTCTTCCCACCACAGTCAAATAAATACATACCTCAGGGCTCATTAACTACATACTACATTGAATAACACGAAGTCAACTAGAGGGGTAGGTAGATTTTAACAGAATGGAGATTTTATTTGAGGGAAAAGGGACAACATGATACTGAAAATGGTTGTAGAACATTCCCAGAATGTCCCTTAATGAGTATAAAATCCACAGGCCCCAATGAAATAGTGCATGCTTTATAACCAGAAATCAATTGATTTGGAACTGAAAGAAACTGCTTTTTTTTTTTTAATGATTGATTCTATCTTCATGATTGGATTCTATGCATCAAGCAAGAAAATGGAAAGGATTAAAAATTCAATGTTCAGAGAAAGTTATCTGGCGGAGCTCCCCATTACGGCTGAAACTCTGTAGGAGAGCAGGTTTGGTGGAGATTTATTTCAAGGATAACCGATTTTAAGGATTATCATTAAGTGCCTGAAAGTCTAAGATGAAGAGCTGAATCAGCTAAACAATGCTTTTAAATCAAATAAAGTTATCAAATGAGTCTCAAAAACTATAGGAATCACCTTTTGAGGTTACTAAGCATGAAAGATGGGAGAAGCTGAAGTGAGAATTAAGTGAGCACTGAGCAGCGTCTGGCACAGCTCCATTAATTGTTCACCAACTCTCCCCTCTGCACAGCAGCACGCAGGGATTCTGCCATCTTCACCCTGCACACAGGTATTTGCAGCGGACATCTCAGTAGCCCACAGCACCAGGTAACATCACAAGTTCACTGACCCATCTGTGCACACCAGGCGGCCACTTAGCACTATCCCGGAGACATTCGCTGGTCACCTGCCAGTTGGGGTGATGGGGAGCTAGTTCCCCGCACACCCTCCACTAGATCAGCACAGGATCACGGCTCTCCTGTGCGGCCTGGGGCAGGTGTAACCCTGCCCTCTCTCACCCTCCCCTGGAATGGCCACAGCACTAAGGCTCCTCAGAAATGCAGGCACGGGCCCCACCCCAAACCTGTGGCTTAGAACAGGCCAGGTCTGGCTGCTGTTCCCTGGGTGATCTCTGCCATCACCCCTGCGGAAGGGCCGCCCGGGGCGCCAGCGTCACGCCATGTCAGACGTGGCCCCTCGCTGCGGCAGTCAGACCGCAGGCAGACGCGTCCCCGCGCTCAGCCGCCAGGCTCGCTGACCCGGCCCCGGGAAGCTCCGGGCTCCGGTTCCCAGCACGGAGCCAGAACTCACAACGCTCACTTCGCAGCTGCTTCCCCCAGTGAAATCACCTCCAGTTGGTTCTCTTACCAATTTGTTTCACACAACCGGGCCACTCTAAGATTGCATCATTATAGCCTGTTCGAGGATATTCTCCAAAATATTTAAAATCTACAATCATCCATTTCAAATGATCTTGAAGATCACTTTGCCAGAACTCTGCAATTCCGGAAATCCCTACCTGGATTCACACTGTCATTTTCCAGTTTCCAGATTCCAGATTGGGAAGTGGCAACTCAAATACCTAAAGCTGATTCTCAAAGCAGGAGGTCCCTGAGTCCAAATTCCACCCAGTTCCCGATGTCTAGCAACAGGCAGAAGCCAGCTACGGGGGGTTCACAGAACAGCAGGAGAAACTGAACAGCTACAGAGCAGCGGGTGGATTTAGACTTCATCTTACAGTTCCTAGCTAGGCAATTAACACACTTCCAGGACGCCTTCACAATAATCTTCTGAACAATGTTATTTACTTCTTTATAGAGTTCCCAGGTATCTATTTCGAAAAGCTACCGATAGTTAGATATTGATATGCCCTCAGAAAAAGGCAGAGGATTGGTTTTACATTATTCCAATGCTAAAATAAGTCAAGACAAATCATTTACTAAGTCAAAACAAAGTAAATCATTAATTTCTATTTTATTTGATTCCTGCCCCAAAAAGCACATAGTAAAATAAAAAAAAACTGTCAAAAAGGCAGTAAACTGATGATATTATTTATAAGATAAATAACTCACCCATCATGTCTTAAGAGAGCATTTGAAATATTGAATAGCAGGGCCTCTCTAGTGGCACAAGGGGTTAAGTCCCAGCACTAGGAAGCTCTCCACAGCCACTGCTGCTTTTTACCCAAAGCACCTCTGGCCTGCACCTCAGTTCTCTGTATGTATAAATAAATAAATCTTTTAAAAAGGCCCTCCCTGGTGGTGCGATGGGTTAGGGACGCAGCACTACAGGCTGGCCACAGCCACATCAGTGCATGTTCGATCCCAGGCCCCGGAGGTGGCCACATGGTGCAGCAGACTTCTCCTGACCCGCCTGCTGCCCCCCTCAGCAGTGTGCTTCAGCACATCTGCCTGCCCTCTCCCTGCTCTGTCTGTGGTGAATCCTCTCACCGCCCCTGCACCTCTGACCTGTACCCCAGTTCTGTATGCATAAATAAATAAATCTTTAACAAATATATATATGTGTGTATATTAAATAGCAAGTTACTACTGTACAAGTTTTCCAGTTATATGATATTACACAGAAACACGTAAATTGTATTTAAACGCACTCCCAATCTTATCTGACTGGAATTTTGACTTGAAATGCTTGTTCCTTTAGAAAATTAATATTCTTGAAGACAAATTTTTTTCAGAAACCTAACAACCAATGAAAAATTTAAATTAGCAGGTAATTTCGCTAAAGCAAAATATATTTAAACTACAACGTTTCATTCTGGTTTTCCCAGAAGCCCTCTAACATATGGAAACCGTCACTACATGC